CCCTCTCGCCGCTGGGCCGGGACGGCACACGCCAGGTGCGGGATAAAATGCCTTCGGGGCAGGAGGGCGGTAACCAGGGAGCACTGTCAATTTAGATTCAAAACTGGGGCCGAGACTGCGCCCCGAGCCTGCCCTCGCCCGCCCACCTTCGCCGCCGCCTTCCCCGCCGCCCGCGAAGGACCGAGGCAGCGGGTCTCCACGCGCCGTCGGAAGAAAGCAGCGTGAGGAAGCGCCGAAGATTTGAAATCGGCGCGTCCGCTTCACGGAAGCCAACTGCTGGGCCTGGGGGGCCTCCGCGGCCCTGCTCCCACGGTGAGGAAAAACTGGGAGCCTCTGCACACGGCAGAAAGAGGCATCCGCCCCTTCCTAGCCCCGCTCCAGCTTCCGAAGCGGATTTCCCATCCCTGCCGCCACTGTTCCTGCGCATCACTCTGTGTCACCCGGAAGGCCGGGTGTTCGCCATCAGCAGGTGCCCATCTTTACATACCATTTACGGTCTTTTTCTTTCACTCTCAACTTTAGCATCTTCCTAACTCTTGGTTTTGCAGCAGGTTTTTTCATCCTTTTGGGGATGATGAGTCCACAATCTTCTCCCCTTGGAGAGTTGCATTGGGGACAGTGTGAGTCATAAAGAAAGGGTTGGATCTGTGTGTCCCACCCAGGGAGGAATATGCCTTAGTTGCTCCATGGGCTTCAGATACCCAGTGGCAGGGATCCGAGAACCACAAAGATGAGCCTGAGGGGCTTCCTGCTTGCCCAGTGAAGCCGCAATTGTTCCTAGAGTGGAGCAGCCAGTTGAAAGGGCTACATTGAACTTGCACAGAGCTGTGATTTATTCATAGCAGGCACCAAGGCCTTTGTGGGCCTGGTCCTACACAGTGTCAGAGCAGTCAAAGCCTCTGTGCCAGATACCACTGTCCTGATAGGAGCCTCCTCCTCCAAGGCTGTGCCTCCTAGAGGGAATTTGGCAGGCAAAACAGTGCAGCTGAGTAACACAGCAGGGTAATTATTATTATTTAACATTTACTCTGCAGACCCAATATGCTAGGTGCCTCCTGCTGATTGGTTTTTCCTTTAGAAGTCTGGGTCAGAGTCCTGAATTAAATAAATGCATTAACAATAATTCCTTTCAGCAAAAAGGGCAAGAATAGAAAGGTTAGCTCAGGATAACCATACAGGATGTTCATTTGTCACAAACCAGTAGCGCGGCTTGCTCCATCAGCATGGATTGCAGAGGTAAACAGTCCATGGAGCCCTGGGCTCCCAGCAATGCCCACAGCGACCTGTGCTTTTTATATCGAATTTGAGTTCAGATTTTTAGAAAAGAGCCTTTTCTTCACCTGTGCAGCTTAAGACACTTTTATTCAGCATCATGCCATGCAACTCAGAAATCCAGATAAATGGCATTTGACTTTTTTGCAGAATCCCAGAGCAGATGTTAATCATACAAACCACTGACATGTCATCTAATATTGGCTCTTCCTAATGCGCACTTACCTGGTCGGCCAGGTAAACTGCCTGGGACCACTGCATTAGCTGTGTGGAGACCTAGGTGTTAGGATAACTGAGTGCTTAAGAAGACTACACTTTCTTTTAGAGAGATAAATAGTGAAGTATTTACCTATGAAAGTATTTAATGTGTATAAGATTTGCTTCAAAACAACCCAGCATTGGAGGGAGGCGTTTGAGAATAAAGAACCAACATCTGTACTGAATCTGGGTGATGGGTACATCGGGTTAATTATGTTATTCTCTCTACTTTGGATTGAAAATGTTCTTAATAAAAATTTATTTATTTGTTTATTTATTTATTTTATATATCTTTATTGATTTCAGGGACAGGAAATGAGAGGGAGAGAGAGAGATAGAAACATCAATGATGAGAGAGTCATTGATCAAGCCCACAACCTGGGCATGTGCCCTGACCGGGAATCGAACCCCGATCGCCTGGATCGTAGGTCGACGCTCAACTGCTGAGCCAGGCCCTGCCGGGCCTTAATAAAAATTTAAAAGTAAATAGATGCTGGCCTCTGGATGCCTGTGACAGGAGTCCCTCTGTATACATTTATTCATCTCTCAAGCAGAGATAATTATCAAACAATTACTGTTACAGTTACTGTGGCTGCATAACAGGTT